ATCACGGGAACAAGAGGAACTGACAAGGTTTTAGGAAATTTTACTTCTTTATTGGCAACCAGCTCAGGTGCATTACTGCCACCTGCTGGACTGGAGTGTAAATAGAGAAGGGAAGAAACAAAGTTTTTTTCCCCACACGTTTGTTTGGTTTTTTACTTTATATGAAATGTTTTGAAAAAACAAACATTTATTGTATAATCAAGTTGTTTGTCCATTTCTTTCTATTTTCCACCTACATTCCACGACTAAGTAACACGCCTGCGTAACACACCTAAGTAACACGCCTATGCAAGACGCCTACGTAACACACCTACTTAACACGCCCACGTAACACACCCACACCTACGCAACACGCCTAAGTACCACCAACGTAACACATACTTACGTAGGCAACACGCCTATGTAACATGCCTAAACAACACATATACGCAACACGCCCACGTAACACGCATATGCAACATGCCCACGTAACACGCCTACGTAACACACCTAAGTAGCATGCATACGCAACATGCCTAAACAACACTCCTACACAACACGCATAAGTAACACACCTACGTAACACGCCTACGTAACAAGCCTAAGTAGCAAACCTACGTAACACGCCCAAGCAACACGTTTACGCAACACTCCTACGTAACACGCCTACGCAACACGCCTAAGTAACACCTTTGCAACACGCCTAAGTAACACACCTACGCACCATGCCTAACACCTACGCAACACGCCTAAGTAACACACCTACGTAACACGCCTAAGTAACACGCCTAAGTAACACCTACGCATCACGCCTAAGTAACACCTACGTAACACTCCCACGCAACACGCCTAAGTAATGCCTACGCAACACGCCTAAGTAACACCTACGCAACACGCCTAAGTAACACCTATGTAACACTCCTACGCAACACGCCTACGTAACACTCCTACACAACACGCCTAAGTAACACCTACGTAACACGCCTATGCAACACGCCTAAGTAACACCTATGTAACACATACTTACGTAGGTAACACGCCTATGTAACATGCCTAAACAACACGTATACGCAACATGCCTACGTAACACACCTAAGTGACACGCATACGCAACACACCCATGTAACACGCCTAAGTAACATGCATATGCAACACGCCTAAACAACACACCTACGCAACACTCCTATGCAACACGCCTAAGTAACACACCTATGTAACACGCCTACGTAACAAGCCTAAGTAGCACACCTACGTAACACGCCCAAGCAACACGTCTACGCAACACTCCTACGTAACACGCCTACGCAACACGCCTAAGTAACACCTACATAACACGCCTAAGTAACACACCTACGTAACACGCCTACACAACATGCCTAAGTAACACCTACGTAACACGCCTACGCAACACGCCTAAGTAACACCTACGTAACACGTCTGTGCAACACGCCTAAGTAACACCTACGTAACACGCCTACTCAACACGCCTAAGTAACACCTATGTAACACACCTACGTAACACGCCTAAGTAACACGCCTAAACAGCATGCATACGCAACACGCCTACGTAAGACCCCTACGCAACACGCCTACGTAAGACCCCTACGCAACACGCCTACGTAACACACCTATGCAACACACCTACATAACGTGCCTAAGTCACACGCCTAAGTTACACGCCTACGCAGCACGACTAAGTAACACGCCTAAGTAGCATGCCTATGTAACACTCCTACGTAACATGCCTACGTAACACATTTACGTAACACGCCTAAGTAACACACCTACGTAACATGCCTAAGTAACGCGCCTACGTAATGTGCTTTCGTAACATGCCTAAGTAACACGCCTACGTAACACATCTAAGTAACACGCCTACGTAACATGCCTAAGTAACACACCTACGTAACACATCTAAGTAACACGCCTACGTAACATGCCTAAGTAACACACCTACACAACACGCCTATGTAACATGCCTATTTCTCTGGTCTCCTTCCCCACTGAACGTCTAAGTGAATGACTCCACTGGGATGTAGATTAGAGCTCCAGCGGTAGGACTGGAGACCTTAACACTACGTCCGCTCAGGCTACGTAACCTGATAACGATGTAGAATGCAAGCCTGGCTCTGGCTTTGCTTCTAGTTTTGCTGCTCCCAGCCGAGAGTGCAGGATCGTACACAGAGGGGTGTGTGCAGAGGGGGAGGGAGGAATCCAGTTATTAAGAACGGGACATTCACTGTGGTTGGATGAGGTTTTTCCTGGATTGTACGTTTCAGAGGTTGTTTTTTTTTTAGATAAAACGTATCATTTATTGGTTGCCAGCAGCGTGTGAAGAGCATTTCAAGTATTCTGGCAAAAATGCTCCACAAAACCATCACATACCCCACCTTTGACCAAGTACATTTAGCAAAAACAAATGTGTGTACAGAAAAGTAACAAGCAAAAACAAAACTGATGCCGTGACATCCTGTGGTTACCAGACAGCTCCAAAGCAGAAGCCACTCACCACCGTTAGGAATGTTTAATGATTCTTAAATGAAATGATACGACTTCCTGCTGCAGGACTATCTTTTCATCCTCACGTCCAACCCTTTTGCTCATTGTGCGCTAATCTACTCTTGTAGAGGCAGGTCTGCACACACACACACACACACACACACACACACACACACACACACTCCAGGGTGTGTGATGTCGTGGGAAATGTCTCAAACCAGCATCTGTGTGTGCTCTGCAGCTGATCAAATCCAGTGTTGGTGTTACTTTAAAAACCTGCCTCCTTCGATGCACCGCTGCTTTTTTTGCTAAATGATTGGAAATGCTTTTACTTTGGTGAAAGTTCTTTAGTCAGATATATTTTTGGTTGAACTTATCTTGAAACACACATTCAGGCTAACACAACCTGGAAGTTGCTTGGGGGGACATCTGCTTATCTGGGAGGCAGGAAGAAACGGTCCTAGCTGACCCCGAGCATCCTCAGCCATGTAGCCGGGCGTCCCGTAGAATCCCACAGAATGGAGATATTTTCTATGGTTGCACCCGTCATTACCAAAGTGGAGATATACGTTTCAGTTGTGTCTGAAACCTCCTCAGTATCACTCTGCTGCTCCCAGAGACCCACAGGTTTCCTTCAGCCTGAGGGCTCTCCTCACCGCTGGTGGAGGTCTGACGAGGCCCAACTCAGACTCGGTGTCCTCTGGTGCCCATGCGTGTGACTAGGCCTACGAGGCGTCGTCCAGTGCTGGTTGAAGGACAGTCATTCAATGTCCAACTCAACAATAGAATTATTTACCCAACACGTTTTGCCCAGATGGGTTTTACCTTCACCGTTTCTGTGTTTTTAGCACTGGTGGTTTATGATGATGATGATGATGATATAATGTGTTGAGCTGGTTGAGGTGGCTCGGGCATCTGGTCAGGATGCCTCCTGGACGCCTCCCTGGTGACGTTTTCCAGGCACGTCCAACCGGGAGGAGACCTAAAGGAAGACCCAGGACACGGTGGAGGGACTATGTCTCTCACCTGGCCAGGGATTCCCCCGGAGGAGCTGGCCCAAGGGGCTGGGGAGAGGGAAGTCTGGGCCTCCTTGCTTAGGCTGCTGCCCCCGCGACCCGACTCCGGGTAAGTGGAAGAGGATGTATGGATGGATGTGTCTGAGGAAGATGAGGAGCAGCTGTGGCAGACTGAGTTGATTGTCTCAGCTGCATAATATTGTCTAACCAGCCTCTGATTACTGATGCAGTTTGATGCTAGGATCCTGAGAAATCAGGGCCAAGCCCTTCAGGTTCCCATTACCATCAGGGCCAGCAGTAGCTCAGAGGCAGAGCGGGTCGTCCAGCGGTGTTGTTTCATTAATGACTGTTACGTCCCCGACAGGAGGTGTTAAATGTGTGTGTGTGTGGGGGGGGAACATAAGAAACATGATGGTGGGTTTAATCGTTATAAAAGGTTCTAAAACAAGTGCAAAGAGATGGAAAGCATTATTAAAATGATGCCAAACACAAAACCAAGACTAGAAGGTTAACATTTAAGGACCACCTATCACCATTAGAACACCTGGTTAACAGAAGGTGTTTAAAAACACACAAGTCCATAATGAAAACCGACGCACTACGAAACACCGTGTTGTAAAATCCCAAAGTCGGTAAACTACGATGTTCACCTTAAAAACCGAGTCAACCACGTAGACATCAAACTACGATCCCTCTGGATCACTCGGAGTTAAACCTTTACAAGTGAAAACTCATCAGCAGGAAGGGGTTGGAAACAAAACGAGGCCTGGAGGCAGCAGTGCAGCGTTCTACTGTCCTTCACTTTCGTTTGAATGCTTTTGTGATTCCTGTCATCTTTTCTTCTTCTTCTTCCTCCGGTGAGACTGGCTGGGCGGAACCCTAGCGCCCCCTATGGACGAGCTGCCACAGCTTTTTTATTTCAAGAAATATTGTTTCAGCGATGAAAACAGAAGAAATATAAAAATGATTTTTGTTTTGTAAAGATCAAATCCAGGTTTTAAAGGGAAGCTGGAGTGCGCCGAACCATCTGAGCCTCCACTGCTTGCTCTCCAGAGGTCTGGGTTCGTCCAGCAACTTTCCACAACGTAAAACATGTAGAAATGCATTAATAATTCAACATGGCTGCTCTGATTTCCTTCATTTTTCTTTGTGCTCTTTTTAATACATAACTCTAAAACTTTTATCCCTGTCCTTGTCTCTAATTAGTCTTTGCTTTCTGGCCTTGAGCTCCAGCAGCAGCGCCCTCTCCGCTCTCCTCTCGTCTTTTCCCCATCCACCTCGTCACAGGAGACCGTCCTGCTCTGTCTGGCTCCGGCTCAAATCCCCGGAGACGTGTCCTCGTTATTAAGAAGAAAACACACAAACTCTGTAAAATCAGGCTCAACTGTTGTGGAGAACACCAACTTTATTGTAGTGGTTTCACTCTGAAGAAGACGGTAATCGACTGAAAGTTTGCTCTTCGTTTAATCAGCGCTGTAAACCGGCTTCTCCTCTGCTCTCCTGTAGGTGGAAGCATGTATCCGAGTCCGGATCGGGACGCAACGCCCGATCTCGATACGAGTCTGAAACCACGAGATCAGATGGGGACGTCACGTCTGCTTACACTTGTTAGAGACTTGGCTCTAGTGACTCGACCTGCAGGTCAGTTCTGTAGAAGCGAGTTTTACATGAAGTTGTTTTCTCCTCTAATGAAGTCCAAAGAGGACTGAGGACCCGTCTGACCTCAACAACCACCGACCCATCTAGTTGTCATCATCGATGGACATCCTGTACAATACTCCACACAAGTCAGAAGCCTCAATGTCCTTCTGGACAACACCCTCTCATTTGCACCCCATACCCCACGTCACCTGAAACGCCTTCTTCCACCTTTGGACCTTTCCAGAATTCGTTCATCTTTGTCCGAGTCCGGCTCTGAAATCTTGATCCACTCATTTGTCGCTTCCCGTATCGACTTTTGAAACGCCTTCCTCACTGGGGTTCCTAACAAACTCAGCAACAAACTGCAATTTATCCCGCTCCCATCCGTCTTCACTGGCTCCCGGTCCAATTCCGCATCCACTACAAAAACCCTCCTCCTCCCTTTCAAAGCCTCCCCCCCCCCCACCCCCGCACTCTCCGTTCGACCTCTGCTGGACTCCCGACCATCCCGTCAACACGCCTCGGCCCGACACGTGGAGCTCCCTTCCTCCAAAAGTCAGACTGGCGGTTTCCATAGCAACGTTTAAATCCAGACTCTCCTGTTTCAGTCAGCATAGCAACTCTTTCCAGAAAGTACACATGAATCACCATTTTGTAATACACCTCGTGGATTTTAATATTACGAATGCTCTTGTTTTTAAATGTAGTTTTATCTGTAAGGGACCGTTAAATTAAATGTTAGGAAAGTCTCAAAGTCAAAGTAAGAGTTGTTTATTCTAATTCTTACCTTTAATGTGTGTTTATTTGATCTGAGCATCAACTCCAGGAAATAAAAATCCAAATTTCATGTCAAACCCAAAAGTTGTGCAGCTGGTGGCCTTTGTGGTCCCTATCTACCTCTGCCCCAACGGCGACTCTCCCCGGTCCATCGGGTCGCTGCGGTGGTTCCGATAAAACACCACGAGGCTCTCTGAGCTTTTATCAGAGCAGCTTGAGCCCTATCAGCTGCACCCCAGGCTGATGAGGAAGAGATGCTAATCTGCACCTTGGTGTTGACAGCTCTGATAGCTCCACACGTAAAGCGCACACACACACACACACACACACACACACACACACACACACACACACACACGTAAAGCGCAGTCAGAAACCCTTACTGATGAGGCCGTTTGCTGTCACCGCGGTGTGAAATGACAAACTCCAACTGTAGATGGAAAAGATTTCTGCTGTCAGGCTGAACTGTTAGCAGCTTTAGCACCAAGCGGCTAACAGGAAAAAGATGGCTTTAATGCAAGAAGACTACCAATAGTTACCCAGGTTCTCCTGAACTTCAGACCGCTGCGCCTGTCCCCTCTACTCGCTTATAAGTCCCTCTAAATAATTTAAATACCGTAAATCTTCTAATATTAGCCTGTATTTAATTAACTACCGGGTTTCATATTTTGGTCGGTGTCGGAGTCGGCGGAGGTGAATAATGGCCGGTTTTTTATTGTGGCCGGGTGGAATGTGGTAACAAGCAAGTACGGGGGCGGTTGTGTCATCGTCTCACTTTTGATTTGCCAGCGATAGACCGCGAGGGTAACTTTAACCGTGCGGAGACGAAGAGGAGGTGAAACTTTGATATCAAGTTCAAAGAGAACGTGCTGATTATGCTGCAGAACACTCTGGGGAGCAGTAGCAGGGGTTGTATGAACTAGTCACTAGTCGACTTCACCGCTCTATAGTGACTTGTTATGCCTGTCATCGACTAGTCGCTGTCACGTGATAATGACCGGCAAGATGCAGTCCTCGGAAAAGACAGCAGCCTGCTGTCAGCAGGTGACGAGCTCCTGCGCGTCGGGAGGCAACGCGCTGTGCCAGAGCGTCGGTACTGACACCCGCCGTAAAACGGACATTTAACCAAATTGTGACCTTTACCCTCTTGCAATTTAACATTCCCCTCACCCCCATCCTAACCTTAACCAGCTTGCGCATGCAAAGCTCTGATTGTTGACGCGCTCCAGACATCTGCGTCCTGAGCACGGCCACAGTAACATTATCAAATCAGGTGTCGCCACCTCAAAAACTAATTTAACACGCGATCGTTCATGTCGGCTCATTTCCTTTTATGTTTTCTGTCTTTTATTCTTTTATTTGTGCCTGATGCGTTTCGCTGCTGTGGATCGGAGTGCATCACCTGTTTTGTCCTCAGTGACGCACCTAACTGATGCGGTCGGCGAGCACTCCGCTGTTTTAGCGGTCGGTAGATCTTTTAGAACTGCAGTTCAAAGGTAACTCATGAGGTGAATATATATGAACCCAGGTAGCAGTTTCTCTTTAGGACTGAGAGGAGATGCAGGAAGATAATAAACAGGCAGGACAGAAAAACAGTCAAATAAAAACAAGTTAGTTTTTGTACCTGGTGGTTGCAACAAACAGACACCATTGAAGGTAATCAGAAGTGAGGAACAGAAAATTAAATAATTATTTTAATGTTTAGAGCAGCAGGAACTCCGAGAGGCTGCAGGCGCATCAGTGAGTTTGTAGCCGCTGCGCAGGGGGAGGGGGGGGGGGGGGGGGGAGGGCTGAAGCAGGGGGAGGGGGGAGAGGACTGAAGCAGAAACTACAGTTGTTAAAAGAAATGTGTTTAACTTTGAAAATGTGGGCGCAATTTTAATTGTCAAAAACTCCAGCGAACCATTAGTTCATTTTGCTCAAATAGAAATAGAGGCCTGGCTCTAATACTGGTCCTCCTTCCAATAAAGGCCTGGAGCTTGATGAGCTTGAGTCAAATACAGGCACGGGCCTGTATTAGAGGATTTACGGTACTTACAATTCAGTTTATTTCTAAAGCGCCAAATCAGGACAAGAGTCGTCTCAAGGACCTTCACACAGTAAACAACACAGGTCAGGTCATTAAGCCAGTCAGTAACAAGTTTCCTATATAAGGAACCCAGCAGGTCGCATCGAGTCACTGACTAGTGTCGGAGTCTTTACAGCAATCCTCATACTGAGCAAGCATGCAGCGACAGTGGAGAGGAAAACTCCCTTTTAACAGGAAGAAACCTCCAGAGAATCCTGGCTCAGTATAAGCAGCCATCCTCCACACACACACACACACACACACACACACACACACACACACACACACACACACACACACACACACACAAATAAATGCACACACACACACACACACACACTCACACACACACACACACACATATGCACACGCACACATACATGCACACACACACACACATTTATACCATGTAGTGTTTCTATGGCTGCAGTGTCTCAGTAGAGATTCTGTTTCTCAGCAGATGAACATCTGGGTGAAGATGGGCAGAAACACGAACCACTGCACGGATTTCATTTAGGGGGTCGCTTCACCATGCTTTTATTTTGGTAGTCTGTTTTGTAGAGTCACAATGTGCGAGTGTAAGCCCCCGCAGTTCCATTTAAATATTTAGATGTTAGCGTGTCCTCCACCCTGGCTGGTCAGCTCCACATCATCATCTCCTCCTTTCTTCACTGCAGTCCCATGAAGGAGGTCCTCTTATTGTGAAGAGCAAGAAGAAATAAATCCTGTCTTCACGCTTCTGAGGAGCCGCCGCTCTGTGAGACAGTCGTAGAGGTTAGCTTGTGTGAATCAGCAGGGCCGAGCTATCTGACCTGGAGACAGATTTATGTGGACAGGAAGTTGGACGGCATCCATCAGGCTTTCACGGGCGGGAGCGGAGAGATGTCCGCATATAGAGCAGAACCAGATCTACTCCGGGGTGAGATGTGAAGCAGCAGGCTGGATGCTTTAGAGTCATGATATCAGTTACATGAGGTCACTCCTGCTGTCATACACCACTGATCTGGGAACAAATCCACACACAACACCATCAGGACTAGCTTTCATGAACCCAACCCTTTTGTGTGGGAGCCCGTAAACATCCCAACACCGGGGTTTGGACTTTTATCGGTACCAGCAGCTACTTTAACTGGTTTCCTGTTCCGGTACCTGATACTTCTTCAGTACTTTAATGTTTTACTTTGGTAATTAAACAGAAAACTGTCAGTAAATAAATATCTTCCTTTTTAAAACGAATATAAATATGTATAAATTATTTTTAAAGCATAGTTGTGCAGTCAGTTACAGCATTAGGGTCGCTGGTTGAAATCCCAGCTGTAGTTTTTCTGTATGCAGTGATGTTCTCCCGTGGGGTTCTCCAGGTTCTCCTGTTGCGGTTCCGGTTAACGAAAGCGTTTCTGCAGCCTCAGAAACCGTTACGGTCAACCCTGCAGGTCTCATCTTCTGACGTGGGACGGCTCGTGACTGAATGATGACAGATTGAAGCGAGGAACCCGGAGCCGTCACTAGTTTCTGCAGGTCGTGGAGGTTCTGAACTGAATCCGACTTTTGTTACCTAATAGTGGCTCGAGGCTTCAGGTAGAGTTTGCACCCTGTTGACCTGCTTCACACAGACTAGAGCTTCACCAGCTAGCTCCGCTTTGTGTCCCAGAAGCTATAAGGTATCAGCTGTACGTGTCCTGTGGCCGGCTCGGGTGTCGAGTGTCAAAGCGACACGCTGGAACAAAACTCCTGGGCGCAGCATGCATTTGTAACCCTTTCACTCAGATGTGCAGCCAGCATCGCGTCAGCGTGTCGCTGCTTTCAGCCTCAAACAGCAGAAGAAAAGAGGAGCGGAGTCGGGAAGACAGAAGTACAAAAGACAGCGACGATCAGAGCAGCAGATCGGTTCCCCTACCAGAGGTCAGGAGGTCGCTGCTAGAGCGGCTGCAGCCCCTCTCAGCAGGCGTCTGGTGCTGCAGGTCCATCCATCCCATCACGCGTGTGTTTGCTTCAGTTACGCGTCGTTTCTGGTTGAATTTAAGGTTTTAGCTACTAAGATAGAATAATAAGTGACATATTTCTATCCTAACACCCCACTAATATCACTGTCTCACCACAACGTTCTGGTATTGTTGAGTTAATAATAATTATCGCTCTGGAGACACCCAACCAGGACTCGATGCTGCTCAGCCTGCTGACCTGCAGCCGACCTGCAGCATCGAGTCAAGTCTAACAAGGTTCTGAGAAAAGTGACAATGAAGGAAAGCAAAACGGCAACATAAAGGTAAAAGATGAGGGCAGGCTGGCAGGTGGAGGCACGAAATATGAGGCAGGTAGAGAGGTAGGTGGGGGGAGGGGCGCGCTCCTCTTCCACCCTTCACGGTCGGCTCCTCTCGTGTGTGTGTGTGTTGAACCTCTGCAGAGGGGTTGCAGGAGTTAAACACCCCCGACTCCTCCGGTCAAGCATGCAGAGAGAGAGAGGTTGTGAATCGTGTTTGTTGATCGCCCGAGGCGTACAGACTTCTTCGCCGATCCTTCTTCCAGACGAGGGTCCTGCATTAATCATGTGCAACGTGATCGTCCCAGCCCTCCTCCTGCATTTGGGGCCTCTCTTTGTAGCACACCTGTGCCGCTGTCGGTGGAAACGTGCTTCAGCCTCGGTGTGAATCGCCCAGGGACAAAGGGGAAGGTGCAGCAGCAGAGATAAAGCGGTGACACGCTGCCGCTGACTGGAAAACGCAATCCAGCAAGTCTTCTCGCCGATGGCGAGTCTGCTAGTCAGCCCAGCTGACCTTCCAAGTTCAAACCCGTCACTCTAGCCTGCAGCTACGCTACGGCTAACTAGCACCATGACCTTCCAACATCACGAGTTAGTAAAGACCGGAGGCATCCTCTTTCCTGGATCTTTACTTTTCATTTCCTCAGTTTCAAAAAGAAAAACACGCGGAGCAAACGTTTTCCCTCCTCTCCTGTTTGCTTACTCGTGTGGTTGTTTTGTTTACGTCTTTGATCCTGAATCCGTTCAGAAAAATATCTGTCAGGGTTAGTTTTACAAGAACCAAAATGCACCGCCATGTTTGTAGTTCCTGTGTATCTTTAATCTACAGTTGTGTTTAAAACACGGGAACGCAGATCCAGGTGACCTTTGACCCTTTGAGTTTTGGTAAATTAGATTCAGGTTTTATTCTAACATTTAAAACTAAATGTGGTCATCTATTCCTGAGTCAGAAAAGGGTAGAATTCCTTCTCCGGGTCAGGGATGAG